TTTCTCAGTGCAGAAACCAACGGGTGACGTCACGGCAGCTACGTCCATCTTTTATACAGTCTATGGTTACAAACCCTGTTTCTAGTTCAAACCGAGTCACTCCAGTATGTTCATCGTGTTGCTCAGAGTAGTTCTGCAGCGCTGGATCAGAGGTGAGCCGGTGTGCTCGAGCTGCAGCGAACGGTGGTTGAAGAGCGACGTCGTAGATCTCCACATTCTAGGAGGAATCAACACTGTAGAGGCACATGTAAACCATTTCAAAGCAGGAAGGAATTATTTTCGTCGTTATGTAATGTTTGTACACAGAACGACATTCATCCAATTCAGAGACTTTGAATCTCATTCACAGGACATCTGAGCTGTTCTCTCCTCGTTGCATGTTGGGTTTTCCTTTTGTCGCACATCTGTATTTTTATTTTTGATCAGTGTAACGTTACTCTGAACAACCCCAAAGGCAAAAAGATGCTTGTTTTCTAAGTGAAAGTTTCTGTTCGCCTGATCAGAGCTGCAAAAGAAAAAACAATCTAAAGATGTTTTAGTTCTCGATTTGGTTGAAGTATTTAAATTTTAGATCATGTATTGTGTGTTTGGTTTGCTAATTCTGAACAGCCTCTTAGAACGTTGTCGTTGTTTTCTCGTCTCTTGAGCCTTTAGCTCTCTGGAGGGAAAAAAAACAAAAAAAAAAACAGTTCCTGCATTGTTTTAGAATCTGTTTATGTATATTGAGTCGGCCGCGGTGCAGAAGCAGACATGAAGTGCTTTCTAAGTGAGGTTTAGGTAACATCATACAGAATATCTGTGTTTATATTGGAGGTATATCTTTTATGATGGCTCCTATTATGCGACTGGCTGGTCTGTAATTATAGTTTTAGTTCTGTAAGTATCCAACTTTGCTGCAAACAGCTTGTTGAAAGCACTTCTGAACTCTTAAGCTGCTCTCTTTTACGTCTCCTCTCAGTCACTTATGCTCCGTGCAAACAGTTATTCGTTGTGGGGAGGGGGGAGAAAAAAAATAATAAATGAAACCTTCATAAACAAAAGGTTAAATCACAAAAAGAAAAAAAACTTTTCAAACGAATTGCATGTGGTTACTATAGAAACCAGCACATCCCGTCACCGAAGGTTATGCTCAGACAATCTGGCTGGCTGTGCGATAAGCGCTCTGGAGCACATATCACGCGGGAATGTGACAGCAAAGACGGCAGACACACTCCTAGTGGCGACTGTTCACCTCCCACAAGAAGTATTTATTTTGACAAGAACGTGTTGTTTGAAATTAAACTCGTACAACTGGCTGCAGGCTAATTCGCGACTTCTGCGTGCTTTGCCGGCCCGTGGGAGAGCGTCTTAATAGCTGGTCGCTGCTTGTATCTCCCGCTGCATCGCCGTGGATTAGTTATTGGAAGGCGTTTGGGATGTTGATGCCTCCTGCTCTGAGCGCTCCGGGTGTCTGATCTCTGAACCGGGTTCCATGAATGACTCAGAATAAAGTCACATCGTGTCCCGGGGCTGGCGAGGTTATCTCTCGCAGGTATACCCGGGTGTGTTGGAGATATTAAAAAAGACACAAGCACACAATCAAACTAACACTCCTCACCGATGAGTATCTGCTTGTTTGTTCACAAGTGAGCCTTCTGAACTGCTTCCTTTGTTGACACCTTCAGAGCTTCAGGTTTTATTCTCTCACCAAAACGTCAGACTTTGACAGAGTAGGAAAGGCTTCAAGTTTGAAAAGTTCACATAAGGAGGCAGGTAGGGATGGAGGAATAGCTCAGCAACAGGACCTTCACCCCAGAGATCGGACTCGTGTCCCACATGAAACCCATCCATCCATCCATTATCTCTACACCTTAATCCTCACTAGGGTGGGCTAGAGTCTATCCCAGCTGACTTAGAGCGAAGGCAGGTTCACCTGGACAGGTAACCAGTCTATCACAGGGCTACACTTAGAGACAGACAACCAAGCACACTCACATTCACACCTACGGTTAATTTAGAATCACCAATTGACCTCAACATGTTTCTGGACTGTGGGAGGAAGCCAGAGAACCCGGAGAGAACCCACGCTGCACGGGGAGAACATGGAGACTCCATGTAGAAAGATCTCGGTGCCCCCACCGGGACGCGAACTGGCGACCTTCTAGCTGCTAACCAACTGCGCCACCTTGCAGCCCCAACGTGGAACCGTTCTTCTTAAACTTGTGTTTTCACTCGTTGTTTCCTTCCAGCTTTCAGTTGGAGTTTCAGTAGGTTTAGACACCAAAATCTAAAGTTAAAATACGAGTCTTTCATAAGATGTTTGACGCTTCTCAACCAACATGGGTTTTTGTAGGGTTGATGCTGATTATTGGAAATCAAGGAAGGCCGAAAACTGATATTTTGGAACCAATAAACGTGAAATGTAATGTTTTAACAGCATGAAATAGAAAGGAAGCTGTCACTCATAACTAGACTTATTCATTAATAAAGGTGACAATAACTGAATGTGTAAACTAGAAATAGGAGCGATTAGATTAAGATGTTCTCCTCTGTTTATGTGGAATCGACTCCAGTTTGTCTCTTGCAATTACATCTGTTGCTCTTCTCTATTTCCTTAATTTTTCACTGTTCTTATTACCCACCATCATCCATTTCTTAAAGCACTTTTAATTATTGTTTTCCAGACTCTATTTGAGGATTATTTGTGGCTGCCTTCTAGCTTAGCCGTTAGCCACAAAGACCACAGAGTGACGACAGACGGAGAGAGGTGGCTGCATCAGACCTGAAGTGGGGCATTTAATTTATCAATAATCGGTCGATAAAAATCCAGATACCGATTATCAGAAAAATGCCAAAAATCAGGCTGTGATAATCAGCCGACATGATGGTTAGTCTGTGCCTAAGTAGTTGGCTGAAAATGAATGAAGGAGATCAGTAAATGGCAAAAAACGAGAATGCCGTGTAGTTGTAGGAGACCGAGCTCCCTCCCTATGCTTGACACTTCCTGGCTCCTACAGTGTGTCCAACCACTACTAAAGCCAAAAGTGTGCACCTATTATGAATAACCACTTAAAATCATTACAGACTCCCGCTGGCTGCATCGAGCTGCCTGGTCTCCCTCCAGCAGCTCTCGGTCTCATGTGTGTCTTTGCAATCTCGGTGCAATGAATTGTGCAAAATGGGGATAATGGCAGACGCTTTAGGAGAGCCGGTGCTTTAACCGACTTCACTCGTCGCTTTAGACGTCAGGTGTGTCACCAGATGTGGTACGGCTTAAGCGTATGTAACGCTGCCTCCACATGGCTCCGAGGCTGTACTGCCTCCACAGCTGGATGCTGAAGTCAAGGTCATAAGTGGAGAGCGTGTCAACTCCCGGAGCTTCAACCTCTCGCCCAGGGGATTCTGAGCATGTTTGCATTGAAGACATTTCAATGCGAGTGTTTGCCGTCTTAGGGGGGGAGCGTCACCGTGGTAGCCTCCCGAGCATCATTATCGTCGGAATAAACAGCAGCTAAGCTCCGACGTCCTCTTTGCCCTTCCTCCTTCTATTAGATGATCTTAAGTTTGTGTGATGCTTACAAATTTACCAGCCCTTTTTTAATTTCTGCTCTTTGTCTTCATTAGTCTCATATTTATGAATTAGCTGCTCATTTGTTCCCTTCTTGTGTTTATTAAAGGTACCTAATCCCTTCGTTGGACCGCTCCCACGCAGGCTTCTACCGCTGCATCGTGAGGAACCGAGTCGGAGCCCTTCTGCAGAGGCGCACCGAAGTACAAGTGGCCTGTGAGTATCCACGCGGGCAAATAAACGAATGCATGATGGGTAGATAAAGCGTATGTGTGCTTAACTGCATGCAGAGTACACAGTATGCCCACACTCCCTTTCGCTTGTCTTTGCATCAAGGACTGACTGGGGAGGGGACAGATGCTGGCAGGGTGAAAGATCTACCTGCATCTCATTCAGCGTGTCATCAACCGGGACAGCTGTTCCACTCAGCATTCTCATTAGATTGATATTGTTGCCACGGCTCTTTTTTTTCTTTTTTTTTGTTTTAAACTTTCGCTTCGTTCCTGTACGACCGCCGCCACCGCTTATTTCGTTCCCGTCTCTTTTGTCAACAACATCTGTCGTTTCTCGTGGAGCTCCCGCGCGACGAGTTTGTGCAAATTTTTTTCGCGGCTCCCTCGTCTTGTTAACGAGATATTACGGAAGTGTTTGGAGTGTTGTCAAGTCAAATTCGCCTTCCGTGTGCACGAGCATCCTGTGCCCATTATCGAGCCTACCCGGGTTGTGTCATTGGCTTCCCGCTGAATTTGAGTCCAACGGACACAAGAGACAACGAAGTACGACGGAGACAGAGGAAGGCCCAACAGTCCCACGAGTCCACTTCTTTAGCAAACACACCCCCAGCAGCTCCTTCCTACCTTCCCACCGTTTTCGTCACCGGCTCTCTCTGTTCTTGCTTCCTTCCCCTTCTCTTGACTTTGTCTGTTGTCTGGCCACCACTGCTTTCTATTTATTTCTTGGCTTCCACCCCACTGTTATTCGGTTCCTCTTTATTCCCGCCTCTTCCCATTTCCATAATTCTCCTCTTCCTCCTCATCAGTCGCTCATGTAGGGGTAGGGATGGTGACGCATGGTAAAAAAAAAAAAACGAAGAGGAAGAAGGGAGAATTAAGGACACCTGCAGAAGAAATGTATGAGATAGTCGAGGGGGAGGGAGATGAGAAGATGGGAGAGATCTCTTTTTTGGAAGTGATTCCATTGAGGCGGCACAATTAGGATTGCGGAGACAAGGGGAGGAGGACATCACATCGCCGAAACTGCAGATCAAAGTCAGGGGGATTTGCACACTTCCACAGATTTTCATTTAAGCTAAGCACCACAGCTGCACCGCAAAGCCAGATTACCTTTTTTATTCTATTTGAAAAGGGAGCGAGAGAGGAAAAAATAAGATTGCCATCGATGCACAAACCACTCCAACACGCCTGGTTCAAAGTCCCACACCTTGATCCCTATATGTTTCAAAGATATTGTCTGCGTCGGAGCCTAATTGAGTGTTTGATGTAACGCTTCATTCATTTCTGCAGAGTTTTTCCCTTATTGTTTCCCCTTGAATTGAAGCTCCTAATATATGATCTCTTCCTCGCTTCTTATGCTACAAGAAGGAATTAAAAAAAAACACTATTTCAGCTCTTCAAAATCTGCACTTTCTGTTTCAGCGTTGGAGGAAGGGAAAGACAAAAGCCTGATTGTTACTGCTGTTCCATAAAGGTTTTACAGCCAGCATCTATGATTGCAACAGAGGATTGCACGGCTGAGACTGAAACAACAACTCCAAGTTGAGGCCGACTGAGTAAATTTCCATCGTAGATCCCACTTCCAGGGCGGAAGAGGAGAAGATATTAGTGCAGTATTTTAAGAAAATAATGAGGCAACAGAGGAATAAGAGCTCTCTAATAAATGAACTGCATTAGGAGGTGATATAACAGCAGCGTAGCAGGTCGTCCGCTACACGTTTAGGGTGTGATCAAGATTGATTGCGTCCACACGGGAGGATGTATGGAATATGAATATGAGTTCGTTTAACGTCCTCCCGGCGTCCCTCTGTGAGTCATTACATCTCGGTTCCTGCTAGCCTTGTCTTGATGCACTGCGGAAACCATGGCAACACCACTGGGCTGTCCATCACCGTGTAACATTTCGGCGGAGAAAGCAGATGGCGAAAACTGTGCGGTCACCAAAAGTCAAAGAAGAAAGGGAGATAAATTTCTTCCTCTGACTTTCTCACTCTTTTTTTTTTTCTGTGTGTCTGTAGTTATGGGCAGTTTCGAAGAGGGCGAACGTTCCCAGTCGGTCTCTCAGGGAGAAGGCGCCGTCGTTCCAGCGCCACGGATTCGAAGTTTCCCTCAACCGCAAGTTACCTGGTTTAGGGACGGACGCAAGATTCCGCCCAGCAGCCGCATGTAAGTTTCTGTTCTTTTTTTTCTTTATTTCATATTTGTGTTTGATTCTGTGAATAGCTTTTTTTTGTTCTTTTGTTTGCTCCTGAGGGTGTTGAGAGTTCCTCTGTTGCATTTTGTGCAAAAGGACAGTTTGAAAATCTCTGAGCCAAGAGCACAAAACAAAAAACAGTTTTGCTCGTGTGTTGCAATGGAAATACCCCCTCGTCGCTCATTTTTATTTTAAAAGAAACGCTTTCCTATCAGATAATCTATATCTGTCTTCTTTTTCGGTCTCAGAATTGCAGGCTGTGTGTTTTTTTTTTTTTTCCCGAGGTCGGCTATCGGTGTTTACCAGCCAGCGGTGCTGTTCGTACCGCAGCAATCAGTGCCCCGGTAAGGCTAAAGGAGCGCTGGACCCGCTGACAACCACAAATGGGATTGTTGTTTTGCGTTCCCCATTCAGATCACTTTAAATGGAGCTGTGTAAATGGAGAGGTAGACTGGGAGAGTAGGTGCTCTCTCTCTCTCTCTCTCCATTTGGCCCAAGAAAAAGGAGCAGCTTGGTATTCTGGTTGCATGTGTTTTGTCCTCCAGTTTTTAGCAAAGCAAACATGAATTTTATTGATATACTCAGGCTTATATATTATTTAAAGTCCACCGATATGCTTTGTTTTTTTTTTCTTCCTCGCTTTGTCTTCACGACCGCCCGCCCGCCTGCGTTACCCGAAATGCAGCCCGAGCGCCGAGGCCCTTCTCATCTCTCCGCCCGGAAATTGATCTTTGTGCGCCATCTTGAAAGATGTCTCAGCTCCTCAAAGTCGAAAGGAGGCTCGCCGGAAGAGTCGTTTTATATCTGCGACGGTATAAGAAGCCGTCACTCCTTATTTTTCCGGCACTCTTATGTGTATCGCACCTCTTAACTTCTTCAAATAAATTGACGATGTGTGGCTTGGTGCATTCTGGTCACGTTCTGCCACATTTTGAATTAAATGAAATGTAAATATATACAGCGGGTTGTCATGAACACTGTCATGTTCGCTTGACAGAGATGGGGAAATATATATATAAACCAATGGGCAGATGATGTCGCCACGCCACACGTCTTGCTTAATTGCCTCGCCTCGGCCACTGCAAGGAAAGCAATCGAGGAAACTGTGGAATAAAACAGGCGTTACTTTCGGCTGATTTGAGCGCGTCAGCCTTGAGGTGCTACAAATGTCTTACAAGACACTTTTCTACACTAACGTCACTTTTTCATCTTCTCCCTTTACCGAAGTGGCATCTGAAGGAGTCCTTCCACCTGCAGAACTCTCCTGATTGTTTTTTGTTCTATTAACGACATATTCTGCTCCCATCGTGCTCCACGCTGTACAGCTCAGCGTTTGACATTGTGCTGTTTTTCTTTTCTTTTCTTTTTTTTATTCCCACGCACACGCCAGTGCCGCTGCGCTTACCTGCATGTGTACGCTAAAAAAGTCACTTATCCCGTCTCATCACATCTGCATTTCTTCCCCAGCGGGAGGTGACCTTGCCCTTAGTTGGAGTGAATCTTCCTTATCAGCTTCTCATCATCAGTAATCACAGTATGACCTAGAATCACATTGAGACGAGCACCCAGGCTGACTGAGGAGGAAGAAGGGGGTAGCCCAGGTTCTGGTTGTGGCAGGTTCGGTTTACTTTTGGCCGATTGTTAAGGGAAGGAAACGTGCTCAGCGTGGCGCCGACGAGGTGGTTTTTTTTGATTTTTAGATTTTTGTTGCCGAAAAATTGGATGAATGATCGTCGCGCTCTGTCGCAGAATTTCTCCTCTTTCGTGGTTTCTTTCATTCTGCCTGTCGATGTCTCTCTTTTTCTTTCCCCCTCTTTCCTCGCTCCCACTCCTTTTGTCTCCATTATAGGCCACCTACTGTGTGTACTTTGCTGCTCTTCATCCCAGCTTCCTACCCTGCAGCTCCGAGAATGCTAATACCGCACGCACCACCAAGGTCACGGTGTGCAAATGAGCACTGTTGATAACAGGCGGCCTTTTCTCTTTCTTTTTTTTTTTTATTTTATTGAAAATCATTTAATTGAATTTGATTCATGCCACCAGCGTTTACTCTGCGGAGGCATCAAAGTGTCACCGGTGAGGGGAGATTGTCGGAGACCAAATCTTTACCAAGAGTCAGTTCCAGCTGTACGGTCTCTCTAAACAACATTACAGATGTCTCGTTATATCATTACAAGAGATACAGACGAGGTGTTCTGGACTACAAGCATGGTGACCATTTCCGCTGTCATTTGCGACATCTTTCCTTCCAACTCTACCATATTTTTTTTCCTCCTATCTCCCCTCATTGTCCCCAGCTCCCGCTATCCCTCCTCAGGTGTCATAACTTTAATTTGCAGCCTCCTCGGGGGTCCGTCTTGCTGCTTGTCTCTGTGCTCTGCTTAATCACACCCCGCCAATAGAAGAGAGAGAGAGTAGGGGGGGGAGAGGAAACAGCCAGACCCAAAATAACTGTGGTAATCACCTCCAGCCAATCCAACAGCTAATAAAATTCATGCTTACTCTGCAGGCTGGTGCGTTGCGCTCCGACTATGTGTTGGGTCGCTTTGTGTTTTCGTTCCCCGTTGCGATCGGGTTTGATCGGCGCCGCGTGTTGACTTTCCCGGCTTCTCCAAACACACACACAGTCGCAGGGCGTCTTTATTATTTCTCTCCGTGGCTGTTGAAAGGTGGCAGGAGCTTGGAAATCACTCGAGGATGACACTTGTTGATTGCGAGGACTCTTGTGAAGTGAACTGTGTCTTAGGTTGGGTGCACGTCTGGTAAATACATCTCCAGGCGATCTGATCGCAAACAGACAAAATGCTTCGAACTGCGGCTGCAAACATCAGCCAGACAGCCGGGTTGGGCTTCGATAGTTTATTCAAGCGTTGAATCCAATAATCAAATACAGTTTAAACACAGTATGTGAGGAGATTGGGGTGTGGGACTTCCTTTGATTTTAGGAGAGACACCAAGACCGATTATTAGCAATCAATGAGGTTGATCACGGATATTTGGAACCAATACACAATTTAGGTTTTTGCCTAGAATGCCTACGAATAAAACAAACTACAACACAAAACTTTAAATAGTTTATCCATCCATCCATTATCTATACA